TTTTTTTTTTTTTTTTTTTTTTTTGTAGCCTTTACTATGTGAATGGGAAGATGTAACATAAAATAGGTGTTATCACACTTTTGCTTTAAAAGTGGAAATACACTTTAAGTGAAGGCTGACATTGTTCTTATACAGAAATGTTTTTTCTTCTTGGATACTTTAGGGGAAATTTTGTAAAAGTGCCCACAGAGACCAGCTCGATCTCAAATTGTCCATAGCACCTTATCGCTGTCTATATTTTTCCCCCACACATCTTAGAAAATGACAATTTAGAAGCTGATTGGCTGCGCACCAGCTGAGACCTAGTTTTGATTAATTCCTCACTCTGTTTCATATCTCTAGTCCCCTTTATCATTTACTGTAAACCTGCAAGGGCTGAACATGCTACAAATATTTTTTCTTTCAGAACTGTATTGCATCACTATATCTAATACTGACCTGTAACTTTTCTTCCCAGTTTGTAATCATCTTGTTGTTGGTGTTCATCACTGAAGTTGTGGTGGTGGTCCTTGGATACATCTACAGAGCCAAGGTAACTTACACTGATTCCTTACATAGATGTGTATGACATAAGCTGGCCAAACATTGTTATATTTTGCAGTCTGAATAAAAAAAATAAGATTCCTCCATCCGTGATAAGCGGTGTGGATGGGCGAATCTCAAGTGTCCTTTGAACACCTGCCGCTGTCAGGACACTAAAACAGTGACAGCAGCTGATTGGCTGCCTTCAATGTTAAGCCGAAGATTTTCCATCCGTCTCCTTCGATTATCTGATGGAAGGGTCCTGATGGGTACCCATTGAACAAATTCACACAGTGTATGGCCCAGCTTTAGGCTCCATTCCCACTTGCAAATGGGGCCGGATCACTTGATTCCCACAAATTCCTTAATGAGACTCTTGATCTGCTGTGAGCTGGAGACACTGTGGCATATGCGAACAGCTGTGGGAGGTGGCAACGACGGCAGCCACCGACTGCAGCTTTTTGCAGGCCGTTCACATTTATCCCCTGTGCTGCGATTATCTGCAGACTATCGCACCTGGGGACAAACAGTCTGGGTCCATGTGTGATTGCCTGCAGGTAAGTGCAGCATGCGTGATTATATGCGAACAGCAGTGGGAGGTGGCATTGTACACTGCCTCCTGCACCCTGAAAATTGCATGAGACTTATCAAGAAATTTGTGAGGCTCATATGATACATACATATAAAAATATAGTGTAGTCCCAGTGAGGCTCATACGATTGAGCTTCATTCGCGGTGTGAAGGGGGTCTAATAGTATTTATGTACGCTTAATGTTATTTTGTACATGCATAACTGTTCTTTTATTGGATTTCCTGCAATGCACAGTGTGATAACTTTCTATGCTAACTTGCACTTTCCTTTGGTAAATATAATTTGTGGCTGAATAAACCGGCTGGATAAACCATTCTTTAACAGAACATAAACATTTATATTTACAGGTTGAAGATGAAGTTGATAAAAGCATTGCAAATGTGTTTAACCAGTACAATGGTGTTTCCCCTGACTCAGCAAGCCGGGCTATTGATTATGTCCAGAGGCAGGTAAGACCTCCGTTTAGAACTATTCAGTGTGGTTGCATTTTGAAGGTGAAAGTATGAAACCTATATGATGCAGAAAACTAGGTTTGATGGCTTTCTTGAGTCAATAGATGCTTCATGTATGTAGTTTTTGCATGATCCAGATGCCAAAGTAAGGGGAGATATATACCAGTTAAAGTAGACCTAAAGTGAATACGCATTTGTATAAATATGACTTCTACATGGAGTGAGTTCATGTCGATGAAAGAAACAAAACTTTACCATTACAATGAGAGATTTCTGTGTCCTTCTGGCACCCAGCAAGGTTCCTAGTGCCTATGCATTGGTCTCATTGTCTTTCTGATGTGGAGGATCGCTGCTCAGTAAGAGCCACTGTCTGGGTGGTTCTTATTAAAATGTAGCCCCCTGATGATGCTATGTCAGACATCGTGTTTAGCTCCTCATTTTTGGTAATGTAAAGGGATACCAGAGGATAGAGCAGTTCTCTATAACACCAAGAAGTAAACGTTTCAGGTTTGTCATGTGCTTTTATGGTGTAGTAGATATAAAGTCTGCTTCATACCTGCTGAATATAGACTGCATTTCACAAGGCTAGGGTAACTAGAAGGCATTACCAGATGTTCCTCGTACCAGGTAAAGGCCATTCCACGGTGCACACATTGAACAGTTAGGCAACGTGAGGGTGGACAAATGCCTCAACATTGTTTTTGGGAGATATCTGCTTCCATGGTCAGCCTAAAGCGAGACGTATGTCAGAGGCAGTTGGGTTGTCTGCACATTTCCCAGCATGCCACCATTGCAATGCTCAGTAAAGGTCACTGGGTATGCTACACTGCTTAGTGGTTTGTCGTATAGCAATCACATATTTACATAACATTTGATCAGCACGCTTTTCCTAGAATTCATCGCCTTTTCTTGACCATGTATAAGGCTCAGCAAGGCTCCAGCTCTGATTGGGTTTCAAGTGTCTTTTGTCACATGACCTCTGCTATCTGTTCAACCTGTTGTAAGCTGTAAAATTGAAATTTGCAAATGTATTTTTTTTTCCCCTCTACAGCTTCATTGCTGCGGAATCCACAACTACTCGGACTGGGAGAACACCCCATGGTTTACCAGCACGCATAATAACAGTGTGCCGTTAAGTTGCTGCAGAGACAGCATAGTAAACTGTACAGGGAGCCTGTCCAGGCCTGGAGATCTGTACTCTGAGGTAAGACGTGGAGTGCATTGGATGCTGCTCTTACATTATTATGCTGGTTAAAAACACTTCAGAAGACTCTAGTTTTCTGAGATGTTCAGCTTATTTCATAAAGATCGAGAGTAAAGCCCTACTTTTCTTATTTGCTCCATTTTGGTCTGGTACATTGAAAGTGTTTTGTTAGAACTGTTTTAGAAGTACAAAAATGACCTGTTGACTTTCCCAGAAAACTTGTGAGCTGATAAGGAGTTTTTGAGATAAGTGTGTGGGGGGGGG